GATACTGGCCAAAATGGATTCGATACGATACCGATCGATATCAGCTTATATCGGGAGTATCGATACAGTTTCGATACGATATTTAGACCACACCTATGGAGTCACACCCCTTATTATTGACTGTTTTCATCTATGTTTTCATGCACGTGTATCCACGTGTGTGTATTTACGTCATTAACTTATTAAAATTTTCATTATTAATATTATTTAACCATAATAAATGGGCGTGGTCAATGTATCGATCCAGATTCCATCAAAATTTCGATACCGATACGAATCGATACCGTAAAATATCGTTTGTATCGATAAAATATCGATATATCGCCCACCACTATTTACAGGTGAGAATGTGTTAATTTTAGCTTCTTTTATTTACTTGTGTCCTATATATCACCATAGGTTTCATATAATAGCATTTCTGTCCTGTTTGCAACTTGCTTTTAGAGGTAGGTTCAGGTTTTCTGTAGTTAAGGGTGTAATTTAAAGCATCATGTACTCAGCCTATCCGTTTGGGGTCCAGACTGATAACTTACAGGGAGCTATGTGGTTTAAATCATGATGCATGTTACTAAATCATATTTGAAGATCTTATTATTTTTCATATAAAATTTTTACGTGATAGGCATAGTACTGGGAGTCAGTTATAGCAATATCCTTTCCATTGCCATTTCTTATCTCTGCTTTTTGTATGTATGATAATCTATTGTTAAATTTTAGGTATGAGTACAAAGCCAATAAAAGATCGTGTGATAATAAGTCATTTTTTGCTGCCACCAAAGTCTTCGTCTGATACCTTAAAGACATGTGCAGTTGGTAGACCTTCAAAGTATAAACATTATGATGATGACAGTTTATATGAAGCTTATAAAGAAGTGGTGAGCAAAGGTGTGTCAATCAGAAGAGCTGCATTGGAATATGGTGTGCCTGCATCTACTCTCACTGACCGAGTATCTGGACGCATTGCTTTTGGTAAAAAAAGTGGACCAAAGAAATATCTTACTGATGAAGAGGAGAAAGAGCTGGTTTATTTTGTATCAGGATGTGCAGAAGTGGGATATAGCTGTTCGAGGACAGATGTAATTCTTTTAGTTCAGGAAGTCCTTTATCGTAAAGGAATAAGGGACACAGTTGTAAGTCACGGTTGGTGGGAGTCTTTCAAAAGGAGACATCCGGAAATCACTCTCCGTAAACCAGAGCCTCTTTCTCATGCTCGTCTTGCTGGTTCTCATCCGGATGTTTTGTCTCGCTATTTTGAAGAATTGGAATCCACTTTAAGGGACAATGATATAATTGATTCTCCTTCGGTCATATTTAATATTGATGAAAGTGGATTTCCATTAGACCCCAAGTCTCCATTAATTTAGTTGTTTGTCGTCGTGGTCAACAGCATCCCAGTTCTCTATCATCAGGAAATAAGTCGCAGATCACAG